TTGTTTTAGTCCTAGCTGTCCTGGAGCTCCTTCTGTAGACCAGGCTGGCCTCGAACCACAGAGTCCCCGCCATTGCCGGGACTAAAGGCCTGAACCACCACTGATGCCTCCTCGTATTTCTTTTGTTTCTTGGTTGTCCTTGGGTATCAGCCCTTGCCTTTCACCTCCATTGAGCTGGTTCCTCCGGATGGCTGCTGCTATACTAAGTACTTTGGGCCAGCTGGCCTGTGAGCTTGTAGAGGAATCTCTTCAGTTGGCCTCTCACATCATCAGGAGTGCTGAGATCACACACACAGGTGTGTGCCACGGAGCTTTTCTCATGGATCCCTGAAATATGAACTTGGGGCTGTCAGCTTCTGTGGTAAGCGCTTTGCCTGCTGAGCCATCTCCTTGGTTCTCTTGGTTGTTCTGAGACAAGGCCTAGGTAGCTCAAATTGACTTTGCACTCACTGCAGTCTTTGTGTTCCAGGGATTACAGGCTTCGAAATAAACTGACCCTGAAGTGTAAATCTGTCTGTTCTAACTGTAGGAAGTGACCTTGACCAGGGAAAGGGAAAGGCTGTCTGTGTGGAGTTGGGAGGTTGTGGGGAGGCAGAGGGTGAACGTGCTACACAGGCACTTGAGGAGGGGAACAAAGGGCCAGGCAGGTGTGCACACCTTTAATCCCAGCACTCTGGGGACAGAATCAGGCCAATCTCTGGGTTTGAGGCCAGCCTGGTCTATGTAACAGGTTTCAGGATAGCCAAGGCTTCAGAGAGACCCCCCCCCCTCAAAAAAGAAAAAAAAAAAAAAAGGAAGGAGAGGCGTGAACAAATGCAGGTGGAGGTGCGTAGGTGCGTGTCCCTCACCTGAAGCCCTGACAACCCCTCTTGACACCTGTCTAGCCTGGTCTCCTACTGTCCCCCTCTAGCCCTCACGGCTCGCAGGGCAGCCTCCTCTGCCCCTCTAACTTGCCAAGCTTGTGAGTGCTCAGGACATTTGTTCTAGAACAGCTGGTTCCTGCAGACTGGCAGCTGGGATCCACCCAAGGCCACCCCCTAATCACACAGTGGTCTTCCCTTCACCAAGACCCGGGCCAGGTCAGGAGCAATAGCACTTGCTCACCCACACAGGAGATGAGTGTTCTGTTCGCTTTCACCCATCTGTGCGTGTATTTTAAACTCTGCATTGAAATATTTTAGGACTTCTTAAACACAAAAATAGAAAAATTGGTACAGAGCATTCCGGTCTATTCTGCTTGGCTCTTCATCATGTTAACATGTGACATAACTAAGGCACAGGAAGGGACAGACACCAGGAATTTAATTCTGGCCATAGGACAATTGACAAAGTCACAGATGAAATTCTGAGTGCTTCCCTCCCTTGTGTGTGCGCGAGCACACACACACACACACACAAACCCCACATATGCATGTCTGTAGAGGCCAGAGATTGATGTCAGGTATCATCATTTTGTTGTTGTCTTTTGTTTGTTTGTTTTTGAGACAGGGTTTCTCTGTGTAGCCTTACTGTTCTCACTCTGTAGACCAGGCTGGCCTCGAACTTATAACTCAAGAGATCTGCCTGCCTCTGTCTCCAAAAGGCATGTGCCACCACCATCCAGCTGTCAGGTAGTATCTTAATTGATATTTACCCCCCACCCCCAGCCCTGGAACTCACTCTGTAGATCAGGCTGGCCTTGAACTCAGAGATCTACCTAGCTGCCTTTGCCTCCCAACTGCTGTTTGCTTGTTTTGCTCTGAGGCAGGGTCTCACACAGCTGTGCAGGCTGAGCTTGACTCCCATGTAGCTCAGGCTGCCTCAGCCTTCTGAGAAGCTGGACAGACCAGCCTGCACCACCACTGCCAGCTGTTACTCCTTGGTGGAGGCAAGCGAGTGAACCACTGGTAGCCCACGACAGGCAGGCGTTCGACCTTGGGACCTTGCTCCAGGCCCTCCTGGGGGATTCTGGGTAAGTTCTCCACTGAATGACATCCCCTGACAATTTTTTTTAAAAAGATGTATGTGTATGGGTGTTTTGCCTACATGTGTGTTTGTGCACCATGAATGTGACTGAAGCCAGTGGAGGTCAGAAGACATGTGACCCACTAGAACTGGAATTGTGAATGGTTGTGAGCCACTGTGTGTGGGTGCTGGGAACCAAACTCGGCCCTCCGCAAGAGCAGCAGGTGCTCAGAAACACTGAGCCATCTCTCCAGCCCCTCTCTGAGATTTAATTTTATTATGTATGGGTTTGTGTGCAAGTGTGTAGATAAGAGGAAAACTTCAATGCATGGCTTCTCCTACCACGGGCCTGGGGTCTGACTCAGGTCATCAGATTTGAGTGGCAGGCAGTTGAGTCATCTCTCAGGCTCACCTAGCCCTTTTTACTTTTTATACTAGGGAAGAGTCTACGAAGTATAGGCTGGCCTTGAACTCACTCTGCATTTCAGCCTAACCTCTACTTTTAAATCCACCTGCCTCAGCCTCCCCAGTAGGGGAGCCTAAGGCTGGCAACTGCTAGACCTGCCTCATTTGCATCACCATGAACTTGTGCGTCACTTTTCGCTCCTTTGAGGTACTATTTTTTGGCAAAGATGGTGAGTTACAGCCCCAGCCTGGGCTGTGCTCCAGTTTACTTAACAGTTAAATATTTTGTTTTGCTGCTCATGGTGTTCTAGTTTTGTTCCCCCCCCCCCCCCACCGGCCCCCTTTTCCTAGAACAGACTGCTTCTGCCTGTCAGCACCATATATTTTCCCTACCCAGACCTGGATTCAGGGTTTTGTGTTTGTTTTGATAAGATTCTTCGTAGCTGGTCTTGAACTTCTGATTCTCCAGCCTCTATCTCCAAGTGCTAGGATTACAGGAATTCTGCAATGATACTGGTTCAGAGATCTTCCTTTTTGAGACAGGGTTTCTCTGTGTAGCCCCGGCTGTCCTGGAACTCACTCTGTAGACCAGGCTGACCTCGAACTCAAAGCTCTTCCTGTCTCTGCCTCCTGAGTCCTGGGGTTAAAAGCATGCACCACACCTGGCTCCAGCCCTTTAATTTTTATTATTTCTGTGCATCATTCTTGTGTGCAGACACATGCTACACTGCTTATGTGGAGGTGGTCTTTCTCTACCTGTACATGGTTTCTGGGGATTGACAGCAGGTCATTGGTCCTGCTTCACAGGTGCTTTTACCCACTGAGCCATCTCAATGGCTGACATGTTAAGAAGCCCGTTTTTAAGCCAGGCAGTCAGTGGTGGTGAACACCTTTAATCCCAGCACTCTAGAGGCAGATTTCTAAGATGGGGCCAGACTGGTCTACCGGGGGGAGTTGGAGGGGGGAGTATTAGTTCCAGGACAGCCAGGGCTACACAGAGAAACACTGTCTCAAACAACGAAGCCCATTTGTTTACATGTGGTTGACTAAGGGCTTTCTTTCCATTCTTCAGAAGGAAAGGGGCCACGAAGTAGAGAAGGACGTGGGTTCCTGCTCTCATTTTTCCACCTCCACCCCCGGGAGGCTTCTCTTCAAACCCAGCATCTTCCCTCTAAAAGGAGGCAGCTGGTGAGCTGGCTCAGTGGTTAAGCGTTTGCCCCAAATCCACGGTGGAAAGAGCAGGCTCCTGAAGCGCTCTGCCTTTGTGGGGCTGGTTCTGCAGTATGTGTGCCTGTCTATACTCACCCAGTTGTCCGCTCTAACTTCAGATCAATAAAGCAGCTGAAAAATAACCACTGACTCTGTGAGACTCACCCCCAGATCTGACCCAGCCATTCTGTTTGGAGCAATGGGAAACATGCCCACACCATGAGCAATTAATCCACAATGGCTCCAATGTGCAGCTGGAGCCTCAGCAACAGCTGAACAGGAAGGTCCATGAAGCCTAAAATACTTATTGTATATCCCTTGGCAAAGATGCTGAGCTGGGAGCAGGGGTAACTCAGCAGTAAAGCTCTTGCTATAAATCGATAAATAAGTGAGGGGCTGGCTTTACGGTGCAGTGGTAGAGCACCTACCTGTAATCACACAGTGAGGGGCTGGGGTGTGGCTCAGTGGTAGAGCCTCTGCCTAGAATCCTCCAGTGAGGGGCTGGGGTGTGGCTCAGTGGTAGAGCCCCTGCCTAGAATCCCCCAGTGAGGGGCTGGGGTGTGGCTCAGTGGTAGAGCACCTGCCTAGAATCCCCCAGTGAGAGGCTGGGGTTACAGCTCAATGGTAGAGCACCTGCCTAGATTCCTAAAGTGAGGGGCTGGAGGTACAGCCCATCCCAGGGTAGAACACAATTGTAAAGTCTTAAATTCAATACTCAGTAACATATGAGAAGTAAAGAAAATAAAACGCGTGGTTCTTGGGCCAACATGATGGCGTAGGTTAAGGTGATTGCTGCCAACCCTGCCAGCCTGAGTTTAATCTCCAGGACCCACATGGTGGAGAGAACTGACCCTTCAGGTCATTTCTACAAGTACACTGTAGCCTATTTGCCCTCTCTAACAAATAAAGGAATGTAATAATTAAAATCAAAAGGTGAACAATCTTAAAAAAAAGCCTGGCGCTCATGATGGCTCAGGTGGGTCGGACTGGGCCTCCTTCATGTACTGCTAACAAGTGTCCACGGGATGCTGTTGCCGTTTCTGCCATGGGAAGAGATGGACGGGTAGAACTTTAGGGAACAACAGAGCCCTGATCAGTTCCCACATCACTGATGGAGTTCCAGGCAACAAGGACAGTGGAGATGGACAGAAATGCAGCTTCAGGCCGCAGTTACTGGGCCAAAAGCACTGAGGCCAACCTCCACCCAGCCAGATGCCCAGCCCCACTCACACCATGCTGTATGCCCTCCTGGGAACCCTGGTCATGGCTCTTGTTTGGCACTCCAGCTCCCTCATGTTAGAATGCACGTCACAGGCAGTGATGACTGATGACCCAGGAAGCCCATGGCCAGCACCCCTCAGGCTGCTATGTGGAGACAGGAGCTGTCTATAACAGTGTGGTGTAACCAGTCAAATCACAGATAGACATACGATATAACTATAATAAATAATTTAATTTCACAAACAGCAAAGCAGAAATGTTAAAATTTGTTGGAAAATACTCCATGCCCTGCATTATCTTAACAAAAATATTGGCTGCTGATAACTTCCACTTAAAAATCTTTTAGGCACTTGGTGGAAAAGACACTGGGGAATGACTGTCTTACTGGCTGCTATAAGCAAGTGGCAGGGATGAGGTCTGGTTTCCTAGTCTATCCTTTACCCACAGGCATCACTAACACTGAGAGACGGACACCAGGACAGTGCACCCACATTGCAAATTCCAGTGTATTTAAAATCGGGAGAAGCCAGGCGGTGGTGCACACACCTTTAATCCCAGTACTGGGAAGGCACAGGCAGGTGGATCTATGTGAGTTCAAGCTAGACTGCTCTACAAAGTGCGTCCAGAACAGTCTAAGGCTCACAGAGAAACCCTTGTTGAAAAACAAACATCAGGAGAACCTTCAGTGTGTCAAGACTGGACATTCTCTTCAGCCTAGGATGACAGGACAGAGCCCAGGGGAAGTGGAGGGTTGTTTTTACCATTGCTTTGCTTTCCTGCTACAGGAAGAGCATTCTTGGTGAGCATGAAAGCAGCCCAGGACTCCTTGGGGCTTGTGATGGAGACTTAAAAAGGTTCTGTTCAAGCAGCTAACTGGGAAGCTGGCATGGGCAGGCACATTTAACTTTAATATTAGCTGAGGCCTCTGTGGACAGTGGGTATGTTAAAATCCCAAGGTCTGCTTAGGAAAGACAGGATCTGCTGCTCAAGCACCATCTGGTGGCTGGTGGGGTCCCAAGGATGGCTGTCTTAAACGCACGGTCTCCAGGTCACCAGTGTCGCCTGCTGAGAGCCGGGGCCCATGTGGCCGCTGCACATGTCACCGAGCGGCAGCCATGGTCTGCATGTGCTGCAGCAGCTGCTCGCAGTAGGTAGCTGAGCGGTGTTTGTGGACGACGGCCTCGGTCTCCCGCACCAGCACATCTGGGAACAGGACGCCGCCCTCCTTGAGGACTTCTGGAAGAGAGCACAGAGCCCTGAGTCCAGTGGCAGTGGGCTGGGGCCCACCACAAGATGTCCAGATGTCCAGAGGCGGCAGAAGCTTTCTTCTGGGCTGCTGGGTAGTTCCTACAGGGTGAAGACCACCTTCCTGAAGCTTTGGGCAGGATGTTCTGGAAGTTGGGGGTGAGGAGTGGGGTGAGGTGGGGTCTCATGCCTTGGGGAGTATAGCAATGTAGGAGCTTCTTGGAAGCGTCATAGTCTACAGTATCTGCTTTAAAAACAAAAACAGCTGGGGGTAGGCAGTGGGGCACACCTTTAACCCCAGCGTTCAGGAGGCTGAGGCAGGCAGATCTCTATGAGCTTGAGGCCAGCCTGGTCTTCAAAGCTAGTTCAGGACAGCCAGGGCTACACAGAGAAACCCTGTCTCGAAGAAAAAAACAGAAACAAACCCCAAAACATTTGTGTGTGTAGGTGTGCACATGCATGTGGAACGCAAGGGGCCACCTTTGGGGGTTCTCTCCTGCCAGGAGGGCCCTGGGGCTTGAACTCAGGTTTCCACCCTTGACAGCAAGTACCTTTATCTGCTGAGCCATCTCACTGCCCTGGCAGTGTCTGCTTTATTCTCAACAAATGACATCTCTCTTTCCAGCAGGTGCTTAGCAAGGAAGCCAAAGGAGGCTTCAGCGTGGCCAATCTTCCCTCACCTCTGCAATGGCTAGCCCCACTCTTCTTCCCTTTAAAACAGCAGGGTCTAGAAAGTATCCTTCCTGCTTCCTGCTAAGCTGTTTGTAAAAGCATTCTTATTATTTTTATCTATGTGTTATGTATACGGAGGTCAGGTCAGTGCTGGAGGAATATCTTCTTCTACTGTTCTCCACCTCTTTTTTTTTTGAGACTGTAAAAGTGCCTGATGCCATGTCTGACATCCTGAGTTCCAATCCTGGAATCCACGTATTGGAGGGAGAGAACCACCTCCTCCAAGTTGTCCTCTGATCTCTATTCGCGGTGTGTACCATGCTTTGGCACAGCACACAAATACGCACACACTACAAATAAAAAATGGGGCTGGAGGGATGGCTCCGCAGTTAAGAGCACTTGCTGCTTTTCCAGAGAATCTGGCTTCCATTCACATGGCAGCTCACAACCACCTGCAATTCAAGCTGGAAGGCATCCAATGCACTCTCCTGGCCTCCTGGCTACTGCATGCATATGATGCGCCCCCCCCCATCTTGACTCATTTCTATCATGGTAACTCCGGGCACTAGAGCCCAGGGGCAGCCTTGGACTTGGCCCTGCAGTGCTTACCAAGGACAGTGTCCTGAATGGCGCTTTCAGGGTCGTCCAGGTGGACCAGCAGCTCCCTGTACAGGAACTGCACGCTGCTCTGGTAGGCGTCTTTCCCCTCGAAGCTCCGCACACACCTCAGCCAGGCGAGCAGAGAGGAAGCGGCTGCCATCCTCACATCGTTGGAGACGTCATCGAGGCGCTTCAAGAGCTCTGTGGGGAGGAGGCCGGCGTGAGGCCCAGGTATGAAGATTCGTGGCAAGGCTTTAACCCTGCAAATGCGGAGGGCCTTTGCTCTGGGGCCCTGAGAACCCGCCCTCAGAAAGGGAGAGTCTCCAGCGCTGAGCTGGACCCTCACTTTTCTGAGGCTGTCTGGTCCCAAGGCCCCCCGGGAGACCTAGATGCACCCCAGACACTGGTGGCGGGTGGGCATGGGGCTGGGCCTTCTCACAGCTGCTGCAGGCTGACGAGCCCCAGGCAGTAATGGGACAGCTGTGCCATCCTTCCTTTGTCTCTGTGGGAATTTGCTGACCTGCTCGCCTGCTGCCAAAGACAGATCTATCCTTCCCGACAGGCAGAAACTTCTTTCTTTTTCTTTTTTTTTTGAGACAGGGTTTCCCTATGTAGCCCTGGCTGCCCTGGAAGTCACTTTGTTGACCAGGCTGGCCTTGAACTCACAGAGATCTGCCTGCCTCTGCCTCCCGAGAGCTGGGATTAAAAAGGTTTGGACCACTGCTGGGCTCCCGTGGAAACTTTTAAAGTAATGGGTAAAAGTTTCATTAAACTTAGGCTTTCCTCATGACCAAAAAACGAAACAAAACAAAACAACCCAACCAAAACGGTCTGGAGCCAAGTGTGGCAGTGTGCAGTGCCAGCACTTGGTATGCTGAGGCAGGACTGTCGTAAGTTTGAGGGCCAGTTAGTCTAGACAGAAGTCTAAACCAATTGCCCAAAGAAGGAAAAAGCAATCTGTAGAACCTCACTCTGTGGTGAGAGGGCTAAGACCCAAGTGCTGGCTGGGCAGGCTGTCTTCCTGGACCTGAAAGCATTCCCTCGCTCACAGTGCATGGCCTCCTGCAGGGAGCACGGGCTTTACAGCAGCCACCTGCCAGAAGGACTGACGGAGGGACCCGGCATCTCCCAGCATTCTGGGCTCTGGCTGACAATGCTGAGAAGCCGGTTGGGAAGTTTTGTTCACATACTTTAGACAGACACTGAAGGAAACCACCCACACCTCAGGAGACAGAGTCTCCTGAGTGCAAGGACTCGCCCATCCAGGTTTGAGGGCGCCAAACCTAATTCTGGAATTACACGGAGCTGACCTTCCCTGGGGCTAACTTAGAAGGGTGACCGGGCTGGTGGCAGCTGATACCGCCCTGTGAATTGATACTTTAGCCTGGCTCCTGTGTCCCCCAGCCCCTGCTCAGAGTTGGCCCTGGCTGCACTTGTACCCAGCCTGGGACATTCTTCCAATAGTCTCCTCCCACGCACTGAGAAGTAGCAACATGTTTGCTGGGCGTGGTGGCATATATCTTTAATCCCAGCACCTGTGAGCCAGAGGGAGTCGGAGCTCTGTGAGTTCAAGGCCAGCCTGGTTTACCCAGCAAGTCCAGAACAACCAGGGCTACACAGAGAAACCCTGTCTCGAAAAACCAAAAGGAAGTTGTGTGTGCTGTAACCACAGGGCAGGGGGTGTGCCCAACGTATGTGCTTTCCCACTGGCACTCGCTCCAAAGTGGGAAGCCACCAGCCCTGGCAGTTGACAGCATACACTAGCTAACCTTGCTAAAAAGTAGAGCCACACATGCTGTGAAGAGAAATAAAATCACTTGTTGTTACAAAATAGAACAACATGAAAAGTAATGTGAGAGGACAGTGGGAAAGGCGTGCAGGGCATTTGGGGTTTTCCGGCAGGGGCTTCTCCCACCTCAGCCATTCTGCTCTGTAGGCGTGAGAATCTAGTCTGCCTTCAACCCTGGTCACCATCTCATGTGGAGCCTCAGCTTTCTCCCTAGGGAAACATGCCTTGAATTCTCCTTCCAGAGGCTGTGTTTAGGGAGCCAAAGGCCTTCAATTCACTGTTTTCTCCTTCAGCCATTTCTGAGTTTATAAATGCATCTGGTAAACTTTTTGTTTAAAAGATGATCCCACTGGTTAGCTCTGGCTGGCCTGGAACTTGCTCTGTAGACCAGGCTGGGCTTGAACTCAGAGATCTGCCTGCTCCTGCCTCCTAAGTCCTAGGACTAAAGGCGTATACCAGCATGCCTAGTCTGGAACTTCTTGTTTTGTCCTTTTGTGACAGCAGCTCATGTAGCTAAGGTTGGCCTTGAACTCTTGATCCCCTTGCCTTCACCTCCAAAGTGCTAGGATTATAGTGTTCTGCTCTCACCCCTGGTCTGTTGGTTTTGATACAGGGTCTCACTGTATAGACCTGGCCTGTTTGGAATTTTCTACATAGCCTACCGAAGACCCGCAACAGTCCCCCCTGCTTCTGCATCCCATGTGCTGGCATTGGAGGAGCGTACTAGAGCGGTCAGGTCTTATAGGAGGGTGTGGCGGTGCACCATTTTAATCCCGGTACTCTCTGTAAGCTGGAGGTCAGCCTGGTCTACAATGTGAGTCCAGGACTGCCAGGGCTGTTACACTGAGAAACCCTGCTTCACTGGCCCCCACAAAAGGACATGCTTCTGAAGGACGCTATTATTTTAGCTCTTTGACAGCAGTAACCACTTTACACAACTACTGTACGGTTGATCTCTCAGCCCTATCTACTGTCACCTGTCCTGAAGACCATCCATCGACCATCACCAACCTTGAGAGTCTGCACGTGCTTCCTCCATGTTCCCTCACACCGCTGCTCATGCTCCCTGCTCTCAGGATGTATCTGTTCTCCTTGTGCTCAGTGTTCCGGCCAGCTCCTAAAAATGCCCCAGGACCACCCCTCCAGGCCACTGTCTGGCACCTGACAGCCCCATTATCTAATTTGCTTGGTGCCCAGGCTGGTTCTAGACAGGTAGCACGGCTCTCCCCGTCATGCCCACCAGCCTGCTTCCAGGTAGAATGCTTTCTCTAGCTCATGGTAGGGTAAAGCTTTACTTCACACCTTTTTCTTTTTTCCTTACAGGAGACCAGAACAATGTCTGCTCTAAGGAGAGTCTCCTACCTTGATGGACTACGCCCTACTGGTCCTAGAAGCAGAGCTTGGCCCTCTCTCCAGTACTGCCTAGAGTGGTTCTCCTTGCTTCCCATGGTGGGCTGCTCAGCTAGGGCTGGCTCCTTTGTCACTAAGGTCTGTGATACCCAGTGCCAATTCAATCACTTCACGTTACTGAACTTCACATCGCTCACTAGCTCTTTCTCTGGTGACTCACCAGGATAGACCTTGAGGAATTTCTCTGGCTCCATGGTATCCCCTGAGTTCTTGAGGAACATGCTGATGATTCGGCAGGAGACCAGGCGTGTGGTCTGGGAGTCATCCTCCAGCGTGGCCAGCACTCGTGGCATCAGGGTCTCCTGCGCCTCTTGTACCTGCAAGCCATAAATGGGTGTGAGGGGATGTGGGGCCAGCCGCACGGTCGGACTGCAGCAGCGCCCTCTGCTGGGCAACTCAGTTAGGCTGCCGGATCAAATTATACCCAGAGGTAGGCTTGAATTATTTTGATTTTGCTTTTCAATTAAAAAAGTTTTATGTGGGGCTGGAGAGATGGCTCAGAGGTTAAGAGCACTGGCTGTTCTTCCAAAGGTCCTGAGTTCAATTCCCAGCAACCATATGGTGACTCACAAGCATCTGTAATGAGATCCTCTTCTGGTGTGCAGGCACACAATGCAGGTAGAATAATGAATAAATAATAGTTTTCTGTGTAGATATATGTGGGCATGCGTGTGTACATGTGTGCACATGTGAGGAGGACATAGTAAGAGGACAATTTACAAGAGTCAGTTCTCTCCTTTCACCACATGGGCTTTGGGGATCAACTCAGGCTATCAGGCATGACAGCATGGCGCCTTTACTCTGAGTCATCTTGCTGGCCCTAGAATCATCTTATCTATCATCCATCCATATACCTATTGTATTTTTTGAGACAGGGTTTTTCTGTGTGGCCCTGGCTGTCCTGGAACTTATTTTGTAGACCAGGCTGGCCTTGAACTCACAGAGATCTGCCTGTCTTTGCCTTCCAAGTGCTGGGATTACAGGCGTGCACCACCACTGCCAGGCACTGAACCACTTTTTAACTTATTGGCTGAAAGTGCTAAAGGAGAGGCTAGGCCATGAAAGGCAAGCAGACCATGTCAACTATAGACAACTCTGCTCACCTGTAATCCCAGCACTTCATGGGTAGGCTCAGCTAAACAGTGAGTTCTAGTACAGGCTGGCCTACAGAAAACCATCTCAAGAGAATAATTAACCAATCAACTAACAAAAAAACCCACGAGGGGCTGGAGAAATGACTCAGACGGAAAGCAGAACCTGGGTGTGGTGGTGCACATCTGTATTCCAGCACTGGGGAGGGAAAAACCAGAATTCCAATGGTCTGATGCGAGACAGCCTCGCTTACCTACTAGGCCAGTGCTAGGCCAGCAAGAGACCCTCCCTCAACAACCAAGATGGACAGCGGCAAGAAACGACTTCCCATGCCGCCTTAGTTAGGGCCACTGCGGCTGCGATCACATATCATAACAAAGCAACCTGGGAAGGAAAGACCCTAAATCATAGTCTGCTGAGGGGAGACCAAGACAGGAACTCAAGCAGGGCAGGAAGCTGGAGGCCGGAGCTGATGCAGAGGCCATGGGGGGGTGCTGCTCGCTGGCTTGCTCAGCCTGCTTTCTTGAGAAGCCGGGGCCTGCAGTCCAGGGCATGTGCTGGCCACCCACACCAATCACAGAGTTGGACAATGCCCTACAGGCCTGCCTGCCTACAGCTGGATTTCATGAAAGCATTTCTCGCTTGTGGTTTCCTGTTCTTGTGAGGACCTTAGCTTGTGTCAAGCTGACAAAACTAACCAGGACAGACACAAACTTCTGGCACACGTGAACACATACACACAGACACAGCAAATGCAAAAGAACTCTTTGTCCTATTATAATAAAATCTGAACCGTAGGCAGTTCTCAGAGGAGTGCAGAGAACAGGCAGGAGATGATGGGAGCTGCAGGGTGTGATGGGGAATTTGTTTCATTTTGGAAGTAGGAAAAGCTGGGCAAAGTGTTGTGTGGCTAATCTGTACTCCTAATTGATTTTATTTTTAATTTAGAGACTGGGTCTCAATAGGATTCCTCAGCTGCCTTTGAACTTTCTGTCACCCAGGCAGAGTCTGAAATACGAATCTCCTGCCTCAGCTTCCAGCATTAGCTAGGGTGTGGCTCAGCTGTAGGGACTTGCCTAGCATGTAATGGGAGACAGGTCAGGGAGATAAAAACCCATTTAGAGGTACACATAAGGCTTTCTAGGAGAATGAGGGAGGTGTGGGCCAGTGAAAGGAGGCTCAAAGGGCTGTAAGCAGCGTGAATAGGGCTCCTGTGGTCACTAGGAGGGCATTGCCTTTCCTCAAGAGGTGAAAGGGTAGACTAGGATCAGAAGGAAGAAGAGGAAGACCTCCCCTATCAGCGGACTTGGGGAGGGGCATGCGTGGAGAAGGGGGAGGGAAGGTGGGATTAGGAGGGAAGGAGGGGAGGTGATGGAGGGGATACAAAGTGAATAAATTGTAATAAAGATTAAAATAAAAAGAGTGAAAGGGATGAGGAGGGGATGTGTACTGTGAGGTGGGCTGCAGGGGAAGACGGAAGGCACCCCATTGAAGGAGGGGCTCTGGGGTGAGGGCCTGGTGGATTATGACTGTACTGCCACCTAGTGGGCCACCTTCCAGGGAAGTGGGACAGAGCAGGGGCTGCCTGGCTAGGGCACCCAGCAGGGAGGTGGAGGGAGAAGCAAGTGGGGACACTGGAGAGGGCATTCTGTCAAGAGAGATCACAGGACGAAGTGAAGGTTTTGCTTGCAGCTGTGCCGTTCGAGGAGCAGAAACACTTCATTCTCTAGCAGGAAATGTTCCCTAGGTTCAGATCTTGATTCTAAATTTCAGATTCTCTTAACGATTTCTGTTTTAATTTGGTCAGTTAAATTCCTCCAACCCTACGTACCCACGGCACACTGGAGGACAGCAACATGTTAGAATTAGTAAGACCCTTCTGCTGCCAGCAGGGGGCACTCACACGCTGCGAGCAGAGGCCGGCCACGGGTCTGGGATTGCCAAGACAGGCACATGCCCTGGGCAGAACCATCAGTCTCCAGGCTCACTTCAGTTGCCATGCTAACAGCAGTGCAGGCCTGGCCAGCCACCCCCAGCTATTTCATCTGCGTGTTGCTAGGAATTGAGCCTGGCCTGTCCCCAACCCCAAGCTTGTAATTTTGTGGAGATCATTCACTAGAAACTGACTCAGAAAGAGCCCATTCACCCAGTGTCTGATGGAGAACTTGCTTTGGCACCAGTCTTTAGAATACATGCTACATTGTATGTGCAGTTGTAGCAGACATAAAGACATAAAATTGTGTGTGCATGTGCTGACAGAGGCCAGGAATCAATACCAGCCATTTTCTATTATCATTCTCCAATACAACATAATACAACACACACACACACACACACTTTTCTATGTGTGTGTCTGCCTACCTATTTGTGCACCATGTGCGTGCCTTCACCAGACTTGGGTATTAGAACCCAGACTTGGGTCCTCTGAAGCACCGAGCCATCACCTCTCCAGGCGCCACCTTGTATGTCGACACAGGGTCTGTCACTGACACCAGAGCTTACCTATTGGCATTTACTGGCCGGGCAGTGAACTCCAGGAAGGTGCCTCTGCTCTCGAAGTGCTAGGGTTACGGCCCACGTGACCACGCCTGTTTTTCTGTTTGTTTTCTTACATGGACGCCTGGGATCCAAACTCAGGTGCTCCAGATGGCATGACCTCTCCCCAGCCCCAACACTACAGCAGCCTAGCTGTTGACAGTGTAAACTATGTAACAGTGTGTGGCCTGGGAGCCCTGCCTCCACTGCACCGGGCACTCTGCTGAGGCTTTCCTTGGAAAGTCCCATTCTTGACGCTGGCAGTAAGAGTCCACGGAACATTTCAGACAGACAACCAGAGCACAGAGAAGTTAGGTGATGGATCAGATGCACACACTGGCTGTGATTCTGAGACCCGTTCCTAAGCACCATCAAGACTGTGCAGTACAACAGCCAGAGCCATGTGCTAGGAGCGAGGAGCTGCAGCTAGTCAGAATCACATCCCAGGTCACTGTAAAGTACAACTGATCCTGAAGACCCAGTACAAACAAGCACTGGAAATGCCTCAAGATCTGCAACAGATCAACTCCCAGCTGAGGACGTCTGGAGTAAGCTGCGGTATGACACAGGTACTAAGAGAGCTTTAACGGGTGTGTGGCGGTTAGAGTTAACTACCAACTTGACAGGACCTAGCATATCCATAGCGGTCTCTGGGCATGATTAGGCTAACCGACATGGATCACTCGTCTCACTTGGGAACAGGACCAACCCTGCTAAGGTCCTGGAGAAACTGGGCTGGGCAACAGCATGCATTCACTGATGTCTGCTTCTCTGTCTGTTTGCGACAGGGTCTCATTACATAACCTTGGCTGGATGGAACTGGCTATGTAGTGCAGGTTGGCTTCAAACTCAAAGATATGCCTGCATCTACCTGCCATCTCCCTGAGTGACTATAGGCGCTCACCACCATGCTACCTGCATCTGGACTGGGCGTGATGGGACTGGCCGTTCCCAGCTCCTGCCCTTAATTAACTTCCCAGGCGGCCTTACCCGAGACCCAGTACAAACCCTTTCTTTTTTTCAGGGACAAGAAAGTAACTAGACAGTTTATAAGCCTGAAGCAAAGCCCAGATCCTTCAAGGGATCGAGGCTGAGACAACCAGGGCACTAAGACTTGGGCCCTGCCCTGACTGACTCCAGACCTCAGCCTCTTAGAGTGCCCCCGCTGCTAAGTGAAAGACACAGCTCTGTACGGTCTTGGGATACGAATGGACGGACAGCCGGGATGGCCACAGCTACCCTTACCTGCTTGGCCGACAGGATGTCAGTGCTGGTGAGTGCCCACAGACAGGATATGGCGGCCGTCCGGACGGCGGCAGCTGTTCTCCCTGCGTGCCACTGCAGGCTGGGGGCCAGGATGTCATTCACTACCGTCTCCAAGTAGCCATGAAACTGTCTGGAACGAGACGGCAAGTGAGGAAGGGCACCCACTACTCTAAGGACGTGCTGCAGCGTGGGAGTAGACTGGACCTGACCCTGTGGCCCTCCACAAAGTGACCCTTGTGAAGTAACCTGGTAAGTGGTGGGCTTGGAGGCTCTGAGCTCAAGTGCTGCACCAACCAGATCAGCTATATCGATCACATGGCGCCTCAGTCAGTACCCACCTGCCAGCTGCACCATTAAAATGAAGGCGGCAAGAGATAACATGGCGGTGGCATGGAGGCAGGTAAATCTCTCTGAGTTCGAGGCCAGCCTGGTCTACAGAGCAAGTTTCAGTACATCCAGGGCTGCACAGAGAAACCCTGTCTCCAAAAACAAAATAAAACAAACAACAAAAAAGAAATGACGTGGGGCGGGAGAGATGGCTTGGTGCTTAAGGGCACTTACTGCTCTTTCGGAGGAGCTGAGTTTGAGTCCTGGCACCCACACCAGACGGGCCACAACCACCTGTCCTCTAGGGGCCTTTACAGGTACTTGCACACACATGGCACTCAGATCACACGCAAACATGTTATGATCTTTATTTTTTTTTGCTTTGTTTTTTTGAGACAGGGTTTGTGTAGATATGGGTATCTTGGAACTTACTCTGTAGACCAGGCTGGCCTCGAACTCACAGAGATCTACCTGCCTCCACCTCCTAAGCACTGTGATCAAAGGCGTGAACCACCACCGCCCGGCTTTATAATTGAAGGACAAAACAAGAACTCTCACATGGAAGATGGCCACCAGGTCCTACTGATGTGAGGCTGGCTGTCAGGCTCTCTCAGCAGACTGCTCAGGCTTCCCCTGTCACAGAGCGCAGAGCCTGCCCCGTGCTCAGGAGCACTCTCCTCCTTTCTTGATTTAGAAAGCTGGGATCTCTTGTAGCCCAGGCTGGCCTGCTATTTCCTATGTAGCTGAAGATGATTTTAAAGGCCCCATCTTCCTTCCTGAATGCGGAAACTACAGGCATGCTCTGCCACACCGAATCTGTACACTGTGGGGGACTGAGCCCTAGGCTGGGCAGGCACTACCAACTGAGCTACACCCCAGCTCAGTTTTTTGGTTTTCTGAGACAAGGTCTTACTACATAGTTCAGGCCAGCCTGGAGCACCCAATCCCCTGCCTCCACTTCCAGAGTGCTGGGATTACAGGCATCCTTGCCGCTCCTGGTTTCTGCAGTGCTGGAGATGGAGCCCAAGTCCTCCTGAAAGCTGGAGAAACACTCTACCGACTGAGGCCCACCCTGGGCCCTAGCCCATGACTTTGTGTAACTTCCACTGCATCTTATTTATGTATGGATGTGTGGGCAGATGGGGTGCCTGTGCCACAATGCACACATGGGCGTCAGAGGATGACTTACAGAGTGGGTTTCCTTCTTCACCATGTGGCTCCTGGGGAACGAATTCAGGTCAGCAGGCCACTGAATCACCCCACTGGTCCTCCAGTCCAGACTTTTTACATGCACTTTGACTCCAAGGCTGCCAAAGGCAGCGGCTTGGGTAGAGCTTTCTGTAGCTCCGCTTTGCTCTCTCACAGGCATCTCAATAGAAGCTCAGGCAAAGAGAACTGGTGGGTCGCTGTGGTGCCACCACTTGGGCCTGCTGTGAGCACTGCCTTCTCCAGGTGAGGAAGCCTGACCCCTAGGCAGGGCTCACACTGGCAGGGATAATGCCCTGAGGCAGGGCCTTGCCGGGATAACCTTTCACTCTATCATTTTATAATCTACAAATCAAAACCAAATGATTTTTGTCCTGGCTTATGTCTACCTGACACAAGCTAACTCTGAGGGGACCACAACTGAAAACTGCCTCCAGAAGACATGGCTGTAGGCAAGCCTGCAGACATTTTCTTCGTAAGTGGTGATGGAGGATCCTGCTCATTGGGGTGCGACCACTGGGCTGCTGGTCCTGGGTGCTAGGAGAAAGCAGGCATAACAAGCCACGAAGCAGGAGTGAGCAGCCCTCCTCCATGGGCTGTGTCTCAGCTCTAGCTTCCTCCCTGCCTTCCCTCAGTGACAGCCTGTGACCTGGACATAGGTCACCTGGAGCAAAATAAGCTCCTTCCCAAATTTCTTTTGGTCATGGTGTTCCATCACGGCAACTGAAACTCTAAGAAACCATTATTTTCCAACTGTCTCTACCCAACAGTGGCGATTCTCTCACCCAGTAACTCGTCTGCGTCTGCATTACTGGATCCTCTGGACTCAGGTCAAGCCCGGAGAGGTCTCTGTGTGTCTTTGGGAACCTGGCCCAAACCTGGCAGCTGTGTGTGTGGGTCAGTGGTGGCGCTGTTCCTCAGCACACCGGGCTGAGTGTGGAAAGGGCCATGGCCCGGTGGCAGCCTGGGCTGCCACACACTACACTCACTCTATTCCTGTGTGTGAGCCGGCTCAGTGGCCTGCTGCCAAGACACTCATTAATACCTTTTTATGGTCCCTTTCAGCTCTGAGGTTTTTGCAGATAGCAGGAAACAGAACTTCCTGCAGTGCGAGGCTGGCAATCAGCCCCACACTAGGCATGCACTCAAAGGGGAAAGGTTAGCATGGCCAAGGCTTAGAAACTGTAGAGTGTGTTCACCACACTTCATGACAGGGTGTTTTGTTTTTTTTTTTTTAAAGGTGGGCAGGGGTGGGGAGTAGATGGAAGTCCCAGGGCTAAAGCACTCAGGTCTCCATCTTCAAGGCTCAGGCTGCCATGAGTGGCCAGGCTTGGGAGGTCCCAGCATATGAACCAAGGAAAACACACACACACACACACACACACACACACACACACACGTACACACACGCACACGTACACCTTCCAGGCAGCTCTGAGTTTCTATATCCTCTAGCACATTCAGAGGTTCTCTCCCAGGAAGAACATCTGGGTCTTGGATTGCTCTTCCCTTCCCTCAAGAGCCTGTTCTCTTCTACGCTCTTTGTTCGACTTTCCCTTTACTTCAAAGCCTTAAAAGTGGGGGCTCTAAGGTTGCAGCGCTGCCTCTGAGCTCTTCTGAGATGACAAAAAACTACCCTAAGCCTTCATCATCAATGCTAATTCAGTCAGGCCTGTTAGGTCTAAAAGGTACCGCAGGCTTTTAAAACAGAACAGCCGATACAGAGGTCATTAATAGTTAATGTGCCCTAAAACTTGCTCACTCAGTGGGATTGTAATGAGTCCCCTAAAGGGGCTTTGATTTACTGTCTGTCTCTGGTGCCCTCACTCAGCCCACTGTTTACCTAGCGGGGTGGATGCGAGGGACACAGACCACCATGAAGCTCACAGCCTGGACTTGGGGGCACTGCCCAGGGCAGCATGGGAAGATGGGCTTTACACAGACCTGGGACCAACCTACCCCTGAGAGTCGACAGTGTCCTTAGGCCTCAGCAGCATGGTGGATAGGATGGAGAAGAGCTTCAGGCGCATGTGCGGGTCTGTGGTGGGCTGGAGACAGGCCCTGAGGGTGGGGATCACATGCTGCAGCGCCTCTCCCACAGCTGGGCCTGCAAGAGAGCGGAGAGGATGCTGGAGGCTGCTGCTGCCTGGGCTTCTCTGCCGGGGCAGGAGACTGACTCGGGAGCAGCAGAGCTGGGGAGGTGCCCTGCAAGCAGTGCCATGGCTCCCCTTCCTGCCATGCTGCCCTCCCATTAACAAATGATTAACCCGCTCTCCTCGGCCTGTGACCAAGACACAGCTTCTCTGTACAATTTCCAAGGTGTTTCTTTTTTGAAAAACATTTACTTCATTATTTTTAGCAATGTGCACGTGTGCCTAAAGATATGCATGTGTAACTGTAGTGTTTGTGGAAGCTGAAAGCAATGATCTCCCTGGAGCTGGAGACACAGGTGGTTTTGAGCCGCATGATATGGGTGCCAAACCTCAGACCTCTGCAAGAGCAGTCAGAGGTCTTAATGGCTGAGCCGTTTCTCCAGCCCTGTTTTTTTTTTTTTTTTTTTTTTGACACAGGATTTTACTCTGTAGTCCAGACTGGCCCTGAACTGAAGACAAGGCCTCAGCCTCCAATTGTTCCTCAGTGGCCACCTAACTTCTTGTTTTGGAGGCAGGGTCTCTCATGGGTCTGAGATTTAATGATTAGGCTCAACTAAGTGGTCAGTGAACCCAGAGACTGGCCTGTCTCTACTTCTCCAAGGGCTGGGATTACACTGGCATGGTAGCCTAAGCCTTTTAATCCCAGCCCTCAGGAGAGGAGTGCAAGGCCAGCCAGGGCTACACACAGGCTAGGCTATCTCAAAACCAAAATCAAATAAACCAAACACAAGGGATTTTCACAACAGCCTGCAGATGGTCCTCACCACAGACAGTGCTATCTTCACAGGCCTACTTACCCAAACTTCTAAAACGAAAGTCAAGAAAGACCTTGAAAAAACAATGCACCAAAAGCATTAATTCAAAGCATGTTCAACATCTGCTCAAGCCTTGTGGTATGGAAGAGAGGAGAGAGGACCCTGCCCCTTCATGCCCACTCTTGTTCCAGGTCACAAAGACTCTGTGGGGCAACCTCAAGCTTGAGGGCTCCTGGTGACTGGAACTGCACAGCCTCTAGCCTTGGGCATACTCGGCTGACTCTCCAGAACACGCCCCAAACACTTCCCAGATGTGCCCGGCGCCTGGGACTTTGTATTTTAGGATAAACTCAGGCACAGCTTGCTAATTCTGAAACTGGACAAGCAGCCAAGTAACCTAAATCTCATTTCAATTATAGTTTCTCAAACCCCTCTGTGTTCAGTGTCTGTAAAGAGGAAGGGGAGGCTAAGGAGGCAACGAGTTTATGCACCTGAGGCTGTGTGGGTCTGAGGGGAGAAGGAAAACAAAAGTGGCACAGTGGGAAAAGCAGCTGCTGGCCTGATGAGACAAGCAGGATCCCTCCAGCATGGGCGAGTGCCAGAGGATTGCTCCAAGCAGCACAGGCAAGTGCCAGAGCTTCTCCCAGACTCTGTCAACATCAAAGGACAGATGTCTGCAAATCTGCAACCCATAAGCCAGCATTCAGAATAAAAACCAAGCACCCAAGCTGGAGTTTCATTCACAAAGGAAGAAAGGGGATGCAGAGGAGAGGGAAGCTGGCACTCCCACCTGAACTTCAGTGAGAAGCAGACTCTCCTTCAGGAAAGTGTCTGCCATATGCCGTGATTAGAGTGCTTGCCCAGCACTTGGGGTCCCGGCTCCAGGCCAGCACTGCATAAAGCAGGCATGACGGTGAAAACCCATAATCCTAGCACTTAGGAGATGTAGGCAAGAGGAAGACATCAAGGTTCATCCTCAGCTAAACAGCAAGTCTGAGGCCCATCTTGGCTGCATGAGACCCTGTTTCGGAACAAAACAAGCGCACCCAGAGAAATGCTGAGTGCAGGTCCAGCTTTTCCAGGGGCTGGGGACTGGAAACAGGGAATGGAGCTGCACCTTTGGCTCCCAGCTTGAGCCCTTGGTCAATGCAAACAAGTGTGCCAGCCAGTGCTCTGGTCTGACACCAGCCGCTGTCACAGTGTTGTTAACACCAGCGTTGACAGGGACGGGAGGAGCTGGTGCCCTAAGCGAGTACTTCTTGTTCTACTGGTCTTCACATCTCAGCAAGTCAAAACAGAAAGAGCAAAGGCGCACAATATGTGGGTTTTCATGTATATCCCAGCACCAAGCAGGCCAGGGGCTCAGGAGGCCACACAAGGGCACTTGCCAAGCAATACTAAATTACAACAATGCACCTATTTGCAGCCATGCAGAGCACAAAGGGCCCAGCTGCAGACCAACCAGGCTGCGGGTGGAAAGGGTACGGGGTCTTGAGGGATGTAGTAGGGCTGTCCCATGATACAAGCTCACAGGGCCAGGAGCAACCTTACCCAGCACAGCAGGACCTCTCACGATGTGGTGTGGCCTGCTGCCTGAGCCAATCATTTCATCTATCAGTTGTTTGTGGAAGCTAGAGTGTGACATCAGGTGTTTTCCTCAAGTGGTCTTCATTTTGGAAACAGCCTCTCTCACTGTACCTAGGACTCCCTGATTCACTTAGACTGAGATTCTGGCCGGCAAGTCTCAGAGAGCCTCCTGTCTCTGCCTCACTAATGCCAGTATAACAGGAACAATACTATGCCTGGCCTTAAAAAACAAGAGAAAGATTTACTTTTAGGTGCATGACTGCCTGAACATACATGCATGCACCGTGTGTGTTTGGTGTCTGCAGAGGCCAGAGTGGGCACTGATATCACCGGGAACTGGAGTTAGAGACGGCCGTGAGCCACCATGTTGGTGCTGGAAACCAAACTTATCTCCTCTACTAGAGTTTAACCACTGAGCCATGTCTCCCAATGCCACACCTGACATTTTACGTCTGCCTCTGGGGACTGAACGCATCTCCTCAGGCTTGTGCAACAAGCACTCAACTGACTGAGCCATCTTTTCAGTCCTGTAGGTGCCATCTCTGCCTTCTGAGCTGTCCACAGTCTATAGACAACAGCAAACTACACCTTCTGGTGAAAACACCGAAGACACTGCGTCACCCGCTGTGCCGGGTGGCTGGAGCATGGGAAGGGAGATATGCCTCTTGCATCTATGGCCTCTCCTCCCCAGAGCTGGGGCTCACGTGGGATTCGTGAAGGGGGCTGCACCACTTGGCATTAAAAATGTTAAAAAGCAAAATAAAACACCACTAAGGATTATAAAGCAGTACTTCTCACTCCCACAGAGCCTCGGTGGCTGGAGACATAGATGCATCTAAAGAATACAGACTGCAAAGCCATGGTACATCCTACTTCCCAGGCTTCACCGCAGCGGTCATTTCTCCTGGGGACAGTGGCTTACCTTGTCACCCCAGCATGTGGGAAGACAAGGCAGGAGCAGAACTGGTTTGATACCATCCTGAGCTACTAAGCGAGACCCTGTCACACAAACAAAACTGTCTGGGTCAAGGCCAGGTTCTCTGGCTCTTGGATGGTGAGGACGGCTGCTGCAGCAGTCTGGCCCAGCCAGGTCAGTGTCCCGAGGCTCACCTGCCTGGGTGAGGACCACGGTGAACTTCAGCAACTGCACAGAATGCACTGTCCACTCGCCGTGCGAAGCAGTCAGCCGTTCCAGGAGTGCGCCCACATGCTTGCGGAATAGGTCCTGACTGCTGGGGATGTCCTCCACCTCAGCCAGTGTGTCCATGGTCTTCTGGGCCTAGAAAAGGGTACACAAAGATGAGGACCAGTCTAATTTTAAATTAAAGACACAGAGACACATAATTCTTTTTGGTTTGATTTTTCAAGAGAGGGTTTCTCTGTGTAGTCGTGGCTGGCCTCCCATCTGCCTTTGCCTCCCTGAGTGCTGGGATTATGGGTGTGTGTCACCACCGCCTGGCTGAGACTTATTAATTTCTAGCATAGCTTAGGCCTCAGCTTGGGCTACCTCCTATCTGGCTCACCTTAACTTAATTAACTGACTGTTCCAGTACATGACCCACCATGTGGCCTGTTACTTCTCCCTCACTCAGTCCCAGCACCTGTTCCTCTCCATGTTCCCTGGTAAATCTCATTCTTCTTGGAGACCCTCTCAGCCTGGAAGTTCCACTCTTCCTCTCCTGCCTAGCTACTGGCCGTCAGCTCTTTATTAAGCCAATCAAAAGATGAGGGAAGATTGTACAAACTATGATGAAGGTGCTGACTCATAAGAATAACAATACCAAGGTCCAGACAGTGCTCAGCTCTCTGCCAGTACACAATTAGTTGAATATACAGAGACATCTTCACACAGTACACAAAAAGACTACCCTGCCTCTGCCTCCTGAGCACTTGGCTTAGAGTCTACTTTTTAAAGCCTAACATTCTTGGCAATTCTCTTGTCATCTGAGACCTTGACCTACAGGAACCATCAGCTAACAGGAACATGTGATCAGGAGGCAAGTGCCATCAAAGAGCAGGTAGCAGACTAGAGCAGGACCAGATGTCCTCCCCACACACTTTCATACTCAGATCTGTCTTTGTCAGTGCTGTTTCTACCGCAAGCAGTAACAGACACAGACCCACCCCCTCAGCAGCTCAGGGAGCCCAGCGCTCGAGTGCACAGGGGTGTGTGGGGCGGGGGGGAGTTGTAGACATTTGCAAGCATCAGGACCTGAATTTGATCCCAAGAACCCATATGATAAGCTAGGCATGATGGTATGCCTGTAACCTCAGCAATGGAGAGGCAGAGATGGTATTGGTGTGGTGGTCCTAAGGATTTGCTGGCCAGCCTAGCCAACTTGGTGAGCCAGTAAAACACTGTCAAATAAACAAACAAAAAACAGGGTAGGGCTGGAGAGATGGCTCAGCAATTAGGAGCACGTATTACTCTTGTAGAGAACCCAAACTCAGTTCCCAGCATCCATGATGAATGGGTCATATCCACTCACAACTCCAGGAAATCTGAAGCTGTCATCCATCCTCTGCAGACACTGCACCCATGAACACACATAAAAACAACAAACAAACGAACAATCGAACAAACTCTGTAAAAGTAAAAAACACAAAGAAAAACTCTAGATTTTGTCAGAGGAATGACACCGGCCTTCACAAACACACAAGCGTGCAACACACACACACACGGGGGAAAAAAAGAAAATGCTACAATTTACAGATGGCTGACGCAGAAAGTTCAAGAGTTCAAAGTTCAACCTGGGCTACAGAGAAAGACCTTGTTTAAAAAAACAAAAACCACAGCTGGAGAGATGGCTCAGTGACTAAGAGTGTGTATAGCTCTTGTATAGCTCTTGGATCCAGTTCGGGCAGCTCAAAGCCCTCTATTAATACAGTTCTGGGGATCCAATGTCTCTGGCCTCTCAGGACACCATGTGAACACACATATACACAGGCCAGGGTCAGGGTCCACCCAGGGTCCAGTACTGAACAGCCCTCACCTCTGGATAGAGAGGTCTTAGTGGTAGGGACACTCCCTGAGGCCACCTTGTGAATGACTCCTCCTAAATGCTATGAATTCTTCCATCTTTGCTAGTCAAGGCTGCCCCTGCTCTGGAATTCAACCATGCTGGGACATTTTCTGTGGAAAGAGCCTGCAGGGCGCTGCTGCTCTTACCTTCTTCCCAAGGCCTGTGGCACTCGAGACAGCCATTATTGTCACCAGCACCTCCAGGAGCTGCAGGCTGGCGGCACGACAGTCTTCCTGACACACAGACAGCAGGGCCTGCACACACAGCAGCAGATGTTCCAGGTAGAGACTCTGGAAGAGACCAGTGGGATCAGCACCTCTCCCTCCACAGCCCACTGCAGTACGGCACCCATGCATGCAGCAAGAGTCAGAAGAGCTGCCACACCCCGCCTGAGGGCAGCAGGGCTCTGACCTGCGCACATCCATCCCACTGGGACAGTGGGCCAGAAGGGAAGCTACAGCGGCTAAGAATTCATGCTGTGGGCCAGGCAGTAGTGGCACACACCTTAATGCCAGCACATGGGCGGCAGAGGCAAACTCAGAGGAGTTGGAGGCCAGCCTGATCTACAAGTGGGTTCAGTCCAGCCAGAGCTGCACGGAAAACTCTTGCCTCAAAAAACAAAACAAAAACAAAGAAAATAATACACACTGTGTACTGTTCACTGATAATCTTAAAACTGCCATTCCTGTTTATTCTGTGCTCTTACTGAACCTGTGAAATAGCCATGGTAGAGGGATAAACACATGGATGAGAGAAGAAGCCTGTGGAATTTCTCCCTTCCTGGGTGAGAGTCCAGCTGTGAGAGTGTGGCTTCTCTCAGCATCACCAGTACCTCCTATGGAGACATTCTGGCTGCATAGCTTGCCTCCTACCCCAAACTTTACAGCCCCATCGGACTGTTTCCCTTCACCCAGCTCCTCTGATTCCTATATAACCCAGCCATTTTGACTACGCTGGCTTCCTGACCTCTTGGTCTTCTGGCTCTCCAGTCTCTTCGCCCCCTTTCCTCACATGCCCCCATTCAGTCTGCCGAGAATGTTCACTCTGGGCTCCCCAGAAGGCTCTGCCTGCTCTCCTTTATGTCTATAGTAAAAACTTCAACCTCTTAGGAGCAGTCCTGTTCTCCCTTTCTTTCTTTTCTTTTATTTTTCATTCATAGGCCTGCTATCCCAATATCAGGGAAGTGGAGGCAGGGCGATCAGAGATTCAAGGGCAAACTCAGCTACATAGTTGGGGTTAGTTAGGGTTCAGCCTGGCCTATATAAGACTTTGTCTCAAAACAAAATAAACCAAGCAGGGGCCGGGGCGGGGGGGGGGGGGGGAAGGAACTGTAGTGACATTTTAAAGAATTCTGGAATTTTGGTTTCTTTAAAAAACACCGAAGTATTATAAGAATATGTTTATGGGGCTGCTTTGGACTGTCCGCAGTGGTTGACTATGAGTTGCCTTGTGCTCTAGCATTAGTGTGGTTTTGCCAGCTGCAATTGTATAAGTTTGGAATTCTGGGAACTTTTCAGAGGATACATAAATTTGGGGCACTAAAAGGTGGGGTCAATGGTTGTTGGTCATTTAGAGAGGTTGGCTGGTTGTGGTGTGTTAGTAGCTGTGGCCAAAGAAGAAGCAAAAGGAAAAAAAAATTCCCTAGTTCCTCTCTCTTCTCTATTCTTGTTTCTCCTCCTATCTACCTAGTGTTACGGTGTGAAATTATGGGGATGAAGGGTGGGAAAAAGAAGAACCGACAACATAGCAAAGACTACAACAAACCAAAACAAAACAAAACCCCCCAACCTCACATTTCACAACTCTGTGACATTCCATGCTGAAGCGACTGAACATCCTGGCTCCATTTAAAAACCCAGAGTGGCGAGGCTAGGGCTCCTCTGGTAGAGCGGCACCACAGAAAGATCCTACGCTTTCTGACTGTGTGGGTGTCGAAGGCTAAGCTGCTCCCTCCTGGCTCCTCTGGGCATCAGATGCACTTGTTCTGGAACCATGGCTGGTGGCCAGTGGGACCCTGTGAAGCACTCGCCATGGGCTGCAGGGAGGCAGAAATTCCACAGGCTTCTTTCTGCATTCATGTCTTGTATCAGTCCTCTACTGTGTCTATTCCACAGGCTCAGCAGGGCACAGAATACACAGGAGGGGCAGTGACAGGCAAGTCATAGTATGACTTCTAAATAAAAGCACACGCATACTTACATACCAGCCCTCAGCCAATGAGTTTAGCTGCTGAGCCATCTTACCAGCCCTTACTTTGTTTTTAATGAGGTTTTATCATGTTCTGTGACCATAAGAAATTCAATATGCTCACAAACAACCAAACAAGAAGTGGGTAGAGAAGCAGTGTGGAGCCTGTCAACTTGGGAAGTTCAGGGGCTGCGACCCCACCTAAATACCTCTGTCCTTTCTTGCTAATAATTCCAGGCTCTAAGAAGGGAGGTGTCCATCCTGAGTCTCTGATGTCAAGAGTCCCTGTATTGCGGAGGAGAACATGCTGGCACACGGGAGGAGAATGGCCTCTTGAGTGCCCTGTGTTCTGAAGTTATGTCAAGTTTCCTCTGAGTCTGTACTGCTCTTGCAGAGGACCCAAGCTCAGCTCCCAGCATTCTTGTCGAGTAGCTCACAGTCCCCTGGAACTTCAGCTCTAGGGGACTGACAGCCCTCTTCTGGACTCCATGGGACCTGCACACATGTGCACACAGACACATACAAAGCAAAACGCATCTTAAAAATAGACATTGAGCCCTTTGCTAGAAGGCTAAACAGGAACTCTGTCCTCAGTAAGAGCTAGCACAGAGGAGTCCACCAGGAGATCTAAGTTCCCTGGAAGAGACACTAGGAAAGCAAGTGGTCACTTTTCTTTGCTGTCACGTTTATGAGATATAAAACACCTGTGTAAGTCTTCCAGCTACACCCTCTAGGGGGCTTACCAGCATGTACATGGGAATCAAAGTCACTCTCAAAACCATCCCAGGGAGACACACAGCTGACACATGGAAATATGGACACAGGAGTGTTAAGTGCAAGAGCACGGCCTGTCCTTGCTCCTTTCCAAGATTCCTGCCCGTCCCCGTGGGTTTCCCTTATTATTTTGTTATTTAAAAGTAAGATGGCTTAGTTTCTTTTTTCTTTCTCATTAAGTTCAGGCCTCATTATGAAGCCCAGGCTGTTTTTGAACCTGTGATCCTCCAGCCTGCTGAATGCTGGGATTACAGGTGTAGTGTTTTGAATGAGAATGGTCCCCATAGACTAATATATTCGAAGAGCTGGTCCCCAGTTGGTGAACTGTTTGGGAAGAGTTAGGAAGTATGGTCTTGTTGGAGGTGTGTTATAGGAGGTGGACTGTGTGGTTTCATAGCCCATAGCCTTCCCAGCTTCCCGTGCACCCCAGGGCTTCTCTGTGTGGCCCTGACTGTCCTGGACTTGCTTTGTAGACCAGGCTGGCCTCGAACTCACAGAGATCTGTCTGCCCAAGTTCTGGGCTTACATGTGCCACCATGCCTGGCTCAGCTTTCCCAGTTACTTCTCTTGCTGCTTTTGCTTGTGGATCAGATGTAAGTTCTCACTATGGCCCCAGCACCATGCCTGCCTGCGGCCATGCTTCCTGTCCTGATGTCCATGGGCGCTAACCCTCTGAAACCACAGGCCCCCAATACTTTCTCTTATAGATGGCCCTGGCCGTGGTTTCACTGCAGCACTAGGAGAGTAACTAAGACAAGAGGTGTGTGACACCATTCCTATAGGTCTCTCACGGACAACAGAAATGGCTGGACAGGGCACCAGGGAGACTTCTGCCAGTCAGTGCCCATCCCTCCAGCCCAGCTTTTCCAGAACTGAACCATCTCTGCTTGCACCGAGGCCTGAACAGGTTGGCCGGCCAGTGATGAGAACCTAGTCTTCCAATAGGAGAATCAGGGTACAAGAGGAGAGGGCATGCCTAGGAAACTCCAACATAGCAGCCTTCATCTTGCCCTCAGTAGCAACAACCAGGGCATACCCAGTGGTAAAGCTGAGGGCTAGGCTGCTCTGGCTCCTTTAAAGCAAAACGAGGTCTCAAGTAGTTACCTCAAACAGGATTCAACTGCTGAGTAACACAGAGAAGAACGAGCTCTTGGTCACCCCCACGGACGTACTGCTCACACCAACCTTAACGTGGTGTGTAGTCCCCCGTCTCCTAGGTAGGAACCAAAATTCCCTCAGACTCATGCCACTGACCCATGACCACCCACGCAACAAGGCCAGCTGGACTTTGCTGGAAGATGGATACATCCTAAGTTGTCCAAGCCACTGGACTAACGAGAAAATCTTAACCAGCCACCTGTGACGGGTGGCCCCAGAGTAAACAGGGCTGCTGGCACTGCTGGTGTGCTGCTGCCTGGGGGCTGCCCATCAGCAGTAGTTGCACTCAGAGAGCAGCCAGCAGGCCACCTACTTCCTCCAGTGCCAGGATGCCCCGAAGCCCACCCTTTCAGGCGCCCACTTACATTCTCAGACCCCTGGCAGATGTGCTCCTGGGCCAGCTCTGTGGCTATAAGCTTGAGGTGTGGCTGGAGGGCATTCCGGGGGCAGCCCTGGATGACAGAAGCGAGAATCAAGAGGCCAGAGGCAGAGGGTGACTTCTTCAGCATGGCTAAGATCAGTTTCAGAAACACTTCTGGGTTGACGAAGGTGCCAATGAGCTCTGCAGCTCTTACACACTGCAAGGAAGAGGGGAAGTGACAGAGTTCTGGAAATATGGATACAACAAGGTGCCCCCACCTGCCAGAGGGCATGGTGTACAGGTCCCTGGGGAAGCATACACCCTTCTTCCTCTCATGGGGGAGACCAAGGCAAATGGGCCCCAGGGCTCTGAAGCAGTGTGACCTCCTCTCCCGCCTCACCGGACATCAGCAGCCCCAGCTTCTCATTCACACACTCAATGCCTCCACTGTAGTGAGAACTGGGGTTTCTTAAAAAACAAAACAAAACACTATTTTAATCCCAGCTGTGGGAATATGGGATTGCTTTGCAGCAGCTTTGATTTGCCTTGTGCTCTAGCAGAAGCATCATTTTGCTAGCTGCAGATAGTTTTTCCAAGTGTGTGGTGTTTGGAATTCTGGGGACTTTTCAGAGGGTATATAGATCCTAGAGCCTTGACAGGTAGGTTGCTGGTTGCTGTTGGTCTTGGTTTATTAAGTAGCTGTGCGCAAAGAAGAAACAGAAAGGAAGAGGAGGAGGAGGAAGAGAAGGCGGCAGCAGAAGCAGATGCATAATAATAATAATAATAATGATGATGTAACCTGCTGGGGTAGATCAAACTTGGCCCAAGGAGCTTGATGCCCCTCATCAGTAGGAGGTAGTCTGATGATAATGCTGCCCCCATTCTGACCCTTGATTTTATTTAGGGATCTCTTTCCTTTCCTCTCTATCCCTTTATCTCTCTTATATAGCGTTAGGGGGTTGAAAGGGAAGAAAAGGAATGGATAAGGGTGGAAGAAGGAAGTGCCCATAAAGTAGCAAACTCCAGCTATGCTCTACACCCCGGGTAACTCAACTATGGCAAGGACAAGGCTGAGATGCAAACCATGAAGCCAAACACAGGGCACTGCAACACCAACCCACAAGCCTCTCGCTGCTGTTTCCATTAACAACACTCACAGATGACACATACAGAGCAGGGCAGCAGCTGCCAGGAAGGGGGCTGACGTGGCTGGAGAGGGGGGTGCGAAGCTGGTGGTCCTGGCCGGCTCTCTACCTACACCATGGGCAGCACATGGGGAGGCACAGAGCACACAGACACAGCAGCCCTCCCAGGGCACCTTCCGCCATTCCTCCCTCTCCTTCATGAAACTAGACTGAGACACAAAGTCACTTTTTCTGTCAACAAAATATAAGTTCAAAGATTCTGTGACAATGCCTGGAGAGGTGACTCAGTGACTCATGTGACTGCTACACATGCCTGAGGATCAGAGTTCAGATCCCCAGCACCTATGTAAAAGGTGGGGAGAGGTGGCAGCCGTCTGTCATCCTAGTACTCAGGAGACAGACACAGGGGAGCCCTGGGCAAGCCCACTGGGTGAGCTCCGGGCTCAGTGAGAAACCCTGCAATGAGGTGGACAGCAACCAATACTAAATTTGGGCCTCTAGAAGCATGTACACAATTGCACATGCATTCACACAAGCACGTACACACATCACATGGTCATACATAGGAAAAGACACGTGAATGCACCGCACCTTTTCCCATATCTGGAGTTTTGGGTGGAAATGGCGTAAGTGTGCCTGGGAAAGCTGCTCTCCTGGGCCAACTGACCTTCGACAGCCTGGTCCCTGGAAGCAGGGAACTACAGGGCCTGGACCAAAGCACACATGCTGTACATGCCTGTGTGCTCAGGGTGCAACAAAGTTTGCCATGAAGGCACTGCCAGGCCAGGGGAGCTGGGAGGGCAGGAGGCAGCGGTGTTCACACCTTTACCCCGCTGGTAACTACAAAACTGTGTGCACAGGGCTGAGAACTCTGCCACTCACACTGCTGAGCACAGCCTTCTCCTCATCCGCACACGCCTGCTGCAGGGTTCGGAGGATGATCTCCAGGTGCTGCGTGATGTGGTCTTCTGCGTGCAGCAGCAGCACGGGCAGCAGCTGTGCTGCCTTCACCCGAGTCCCTACCACCCAGTCGGTGATGTCATGACAGACAGCGGGAAGCACCTTGGAGAGGTTCCTGAAGACCAGCTCTCGACAGCCCAGGCCAGGCCGGCTCTCTAGAGGGGAGAAGGTGGGAACCCACAAAGACAGCTTCAGGGATCTGTGCAGAAAGTGGTTACTTACACCCACAGTCTGACTGCAAGTTCAGAATGTCTCAAGACAGAAAAGAGAGCTATGCTTGGAAGCCTGAAACTACAAACTCCTCAGCTCAGGAGGCTGAGGCAGGAGGACCACTTCAAGTTAGCGATTACCCCGAGTCCCACAGTTACAGGTTATCCTGTAGAGTGAGACCCTATTTCAAACAAAGTAAGGGCCACATCATAATGTAATGTGGCACACACCTTTAATCCCAGCACTCAGGAGGCAGAGACAAGCGGCTTTCTGAGTTCAAGGCTAGCCTAGTCTATACAGCGAATTCCAGGACAGCCAGAGCTCCACAGACAAACCGTGTCTGGAAAAAACCAAACAGTACTTCTTATGGCCCTGCTGAAGTAAGATGCGTAAGAAACCACCCTGGGCCACAGCCGCAGACTGTCACCCTGAAGTGAGCTTAGTTCCATGCCTCCCTTGCCCCTCCCCAGTGGCCCCGCATTACATAGCAGTGTGGTCTCCAGCGTCTTCCCTCAGTGGACTTGGGTAACACCCTTGCTGGAGCAGTCTATGCTGTGAATGCACCAGTCTCCCCATTCTCTCTGTGCTTACTTCTGACCTGGGGCTGTTTTACAAGGTGTTGTGCTGAACCCTACTACCAGTTACTGGCAGGGGCAGGCGCTGGCCTTTCTGGTGTGTCAGTATTTAGCATGGCTCCATCCTACCGTCAGTACTTGTTTGACTTAGACGAGACTGCCTGTGCATGTTCCACAGTGGCCGTACCATTCAACTTCCCTGTTGTGCATGGCCAGAGTTCAAGATAGCCAAGCCTGGAAGGATGCAGCAGCAGCTCTCTGAGGTCTGACTTCCATCTCCCCAATGCCATCAAGCATCTTCACAGGCGAATGTGCTGTTTGCATAACCATCCTGGGTGATGTTTTTCCAAATACTGCCTGTTTAAAAGTTTTGAACTGTCTTTCTTATTGGGTTCTGGGAGTTCTCTGTTCTGCACATAAGTAATAATTACTTCCTTGGTCTTTTCACCTTCTTAACACTGTGTGCGCTTATGTGTATTGCTGGGGATTGAACATACGGCTTCATATTTGCTAAGCACTCTGTAGCTAAACTACTCCCCCAGCCCCTCCGTCATGGGGGATGCTAGGCAGGGGCTCTTCAACTGAGCGGAAGCTCTTCACTGATGGGGTCTAGTCAGGTTTTACTGCTGAGCCTGCCCCACCCAGTCCTTTATTGGTGGACTCTAGATGAGTGCTGTGCCTCTAAGCTACACC